GTATTTTGATAGACTAATATCCCCTATCAAAAAAAAAAAAATATATATATATATATATATATATATATATGTGTGTGCTACACACTTCAATGTGAAGCGCTTTGAGTTTCCATGATAAAGCACTATATAAATGTAATTCATTATTATAATTATTATTAGATTTGAGACAACATTACCGTGTCAGAATGTACGCACTACGCAAGTATGTACATAGTGTACACAGTTTACTGCATGTTAGTGTACTAGCGTCAGTATCTGAACCGAGACACAGCTCAGGAGTCTACGGTCATGCTAGCGGCTCCGTGAGACTGTACTCGAACTGAGCTAAAAGCTAACATGAGCATGCTAACATGCTTACAGTGAAGATGTCACCATGCTGAAGGTATACTGTTGACCATCTTAGTTGAGTTTGTTAGTATGCCAACAATTGCCATAAAAACTATTAGACAGATTAAAATGTTGACCTAATGACTGCATAGATGAAAGGTCAGATGGTCCCAAACATTGTTTCAATTCATCCTGAGGAGAACATGAATGTCCAACAAATTTTATAGTAATTCATCCAATAGTTGTCAAGACATTTGTACTCAAAAAGCTAGAGGATTTCAGGGATCGCAAAAATCTGTAGAGTTTATTGCGTGGGCACCATGAATGTCTGTACAAAAGTTCATCTTAATTCAGCTAGTTGTTGAGATATTTCATTCTGGACCAAAGCGGTGGATGGTCTGACTCAGTGCCATCACTAGAGCCATGCCGCCAGCACAACAACAACAAAAAAAAACACAAAGCCAAATGTTTATATTACAGTTTTTTGTTTGTTTAATCAGATCTCTCTGCCTGTCTGTTTTCGCTGGGAAGATGCTGTTCTGCTGCCTCCCTTCATATAGCTCGGCCCATTAGTCACACCGCTAATTACACTGCTTACCCACAGAGTCGATCATCAGAGTAAACACCCACCGAGCTCTCTCTCTCGTTTCCTTCTCTCATCTGACTACCACCAAGGACGCAGTGACAGTAGGTCCAACCCAGAATAGCATTCCTGAGTGTGTGTCTCTGTGAATCCAACCATGCACGCCTAAAAACACACCTCCCCATCTCAGAGAGCCATTAAACATGTCAATACACTGTCCTGTCTCAAAAGTGTTTGAAGTTAAAGCTCCTTATATCCAATTATTCAAATATGACATGTCAGCATACAGCAGTGATTTGCATTGTTAAAATCGGTTTGCAGTGGGGAAGAAAAGACACAGGTTCATTGTCCCCAACTGCATCACCCCCCACCTTACATCAAGTGGCTAGTTGCTTGGCTTCGCGCTGGAGAAATGTTCTGGTAATCTCTCAATGATTCTTGCACTTAGAGGGGAGGGGCTGCCAGGCACCTGTTTCATTAGCACCACACATCTTTCTTTCTCAGCCTTTCTCACCCCCTCCCCCCCACCTACTCATTCCTCTCTCCTTCCTCCCGCAAGCCTCGTTATTCAAATTTCCCTGCTGTCAGCCCACATTAGCGAAGTGCCACAGTTTGCCTGTCAGCTGGCTTAATTGCTGGAGGTGCCTTCTTTTATTAGGTAACCCCCTCGGCTCGTTTGTTCCTTCCACCGAGACGCACCTCCACAACAGCCTGTGTAAACCTGAGATCCATTCAGCCTCCTTTCCTTCATTTTCGTCTGCCCCTCCCTCTCCAATCTAATCGGTGGCTGAGCAAAGCAAGAGAGCTCCTGATCGATAGCCACACTCTCGCCACTGGACAACGTGGTGATAAAGAGCTAAAAGCTTGCTACGACTGGGGAAGTGGAGTCTTGCTTTATGCTAGCTCTAAGGACAAAGATGGGAAGGCCTCATCTCAGTCGCTCACTCAAAGTACCCTCCCCACAATAGTCTATGTCTCCTCCCTGACCTTATCCATCTTCACTGATTATATATTAATTTAGAAAGACCACCTCCTTGAAGGGGTTAGGATGATAAGGAGATAAGAGATGCATAGATGAAAACATTTTTCTGCCTTTCTTCCATGATAAATTACATTTCTTGATTTTATTAAATGGCCCCTGAATTCTCAAAAGGTCCTACCAGCTCACTGTTGACATGACGACATGTTAGAAAACTGTCTGATCACCGTTTTCCCAAACAGATTATGGAACATCAAAATAGGTATCAACAATGGACAAAACTACAAAACTTGAACCTAGGTTCATATTATACTTAGACAAACCCCTCCCCCAGCTCAGGGCATTGTTCAGGATGAAGTGGTTGGTAGAGGGCTGTTGGTCATGTTATGACCAATCTTATTGTGGGCTTTGAGAGGATTGGATGTCTTTAATCAGTGACTGATAAGTTGATTGTTTCCCACAGATTAGGTTTAATTTGGCAACAGAAAGATCTTTAAAACTATGTTTCCCCACAGAGCAAACACATTAACAAGGGACACCCTTTTAAAAATACTAGTGAGGTACAGCAAACCTGCTAATGCCACCATTTTGTCTTTCTTAATGTACTTAGTTTATGTCTTAGCGCTGTGGGTCAAATCATCATTACAGTCTAACAAAAATTTCATTACTGATTGGAATACAATTTTATCTTCTGCTTTGATGTTTAGCTTTTTTCTCTACATCCATTTCTGTCCATGTCTACAGTGTAGCCTTGTATGTTTCTGTCACTATGGCAGATTTAAAAGAACATTAAGGATTTAAGGCAGTCAGCCATGCCTGCCATGTCCTATACACTTCTAAGCTACTCTACTGTATTTGGCAAAATCCCCAAAACCATCTGGGCACATACAAGGGACTGAAGCATTTCCAAGAATGTTTCTATGTCGTGTTTACGTGACGTGGACACCACCATACATCCATGTGTACATCTGTACACATTATTCGATTTTTTATCTCTGGTGAGAAGTTCACCTTAGGTGTGCACAGTATTTAGTCAGTACATATATTAAATCTTCTGGATGCGCGATTAAAAATACCAACCAGAATTTTAATCCGTTTATCTGTTGCACTTTACACCATAAAATTATACCTAATGAATCTGTGCGTGCACTCTGTAAAAAGGCTGAAACGCTATTACCAAGCTCATATGGACAATCATGAAAGAAGATCTGCTGTAAGAAGCTATAAGCATGCAGGTTAAATGACATGCTAACTGGCAGAACAAGAGACCTTGTGGCTGACAGGTCTCTTGTTCAGGATCTGTAAATGCACGTGTGAAATTAATGTAGCACAACTCTTAATTATCATTTGATAAAAATAACTATATAGGTACTTGTTAATATGGGTCACGTGTTTTATGTAATATATGGGTCACATCCTTCACAGCAGACCAGTAGCCGTTGATGACAGGTTACTGCGAGCCTAGCATTGCAAAGATTAAACAGTTTGCTGGGTTGAGAGGCCCTTCACTCCGAGGTGCAAACAAGAGCTACCGATGGCCAGAGACTTTCTAAGGACACATGGTACTGTTGAGATCTGCGGAGGACAGAAATGAACCAGGGCGGCTGGACTAAACATTCCACCCAGACCCGCCGCAGTCTGCTCCTCTCACCCTGGGACGCCTGCCCATACATTAAGATGTGGTTTGGAGCTCTCACAGGAACACAGTGAAGAGAGGCTAGATGAGAGGGATTGGGTTTACAGTGCAAACCACAGACCCACAGTCTGCCTCCTGTCCTGCCTTCCTGCAGCAGCTATACTACATACACAGCTGCTGCAGCATGGCATGTGTGCGTGTGTGATGTTTGTGTATATGCTGTATGTTTGGGTAGAGGGGACTCATAAGGTCCCATTACCACTCAAAAGGAAGTACTGGCTGAAATAAAATGTACAATGCATGATGTTAGTGCATAAAGTGTTGTGCAAACACACAAAAGCTACAAAAATGTAAACAATGTGTCTTGTGGGGGTCTTTACCTGCATGAATGAATTTGTGAGAAGAATTAATTAAAGTGGCATTCACATGAAGATATACTCCACAGTGTGCTCAATCTGATTTCAATGCATGGGACATGAATGTCAAAACAGTGTCAGGGGTGGGGTGCAGGGTGGCATGGCTGAGGGATGCAGATGAGGGTTAGGCAAATGAGCAGGTCTTAATTGATACTTCACACAGCTGGAGGACCAGTGTTTATGTATTTGTGTCGGCTCAAAAGCTCTCCACATAACTCGACTGAAGCAAATTAAAGCCATGCATCTAGAATTTCACTCCTAACCTCGCAGATATCTGTCTCACAACACAGACAGCACGGCAATTTCTCTTTCATTTTACCAGCCACATTACTGGCCTGTATAGAAGAGTTTTGGCAATCGTGGTCAGCTTCTTGAAAAGGGATATCTTCTATTGAATCATTAAATCAGGGGCACCAATCACCCTTGATATGATTTTAAAAAAGTAAAAGCAGATTTTTTTAAGATGACTGGCACTTGAAAAGGGCAGCCCATTGAGTGAAGGTGTCAACAAGCCAAAGCTGACTCACCCCCCTCCCCTCTCTCTCTCCCTCTCTCACAGCCCGTGAGGAAGGGACAAACAAACACACACTTCATCATCTGGGTCAACTCCACAATAGTGTGGAAATTGAAAGGGGGCTTGTTTCAAAACTGGTGGTGGCCACCAAGGACACGAGATTCACACACAAAGACACTCAGTAAAGTTGGACATTGTTTAAGGTGGGCTTTGCCCCACTAAACCCTTACTGACAGCAATCTGCCTGACCTTCAGAAGACAAAGATTACACAGGGCGTAAAAATTAAGAAGAACTGAGTGATATGTTGCATATACGAGCCTAAAGAGTATCATATTTGCCCCACAAAGGAGTCCCCGGAAATACACCGCAAGGATGAATATTAGATAAACAATTTCGGCTTGTACTTTCTTTCTGAGGCTCAATATGGTTTAAAATCAACCTGGTGTTTGTTACAGACACGTTGTGTTTAATAGAGGCTCAGGATACAAGACAATAACCTCTTAAAACTAATGTAGACGGTTACATAGTAGCGTAGCCTACTTACCGGTGGTCGGTTTTGAGGAAACATTGTAGCCGCCGACTTGTGTGTCTCCGTGCGCCTTTTTTTGTCCTTCTTCTTGCTCTCTTTTGGGGCGGAAAGCTTCGTCGAGAAATACGAGCAGCCAATGTACTATTGTTGGTCTCAGAGAGGCATTTGGCCCGGTTTCAAAGGTAATGGCAAAGCTAGTCTCGGCTCGCTCATTCCTTGCTTCAAGACTCCTTTGTTCTGGGTTATATCTCCAGCCCCAAACCGCACCGCACTCGACGTGTAGTAAGGACGGGGAGAGGAGAGGAGGAACACCCGGGTCCAGGGGAGCTTTCTTCCAAGTCCTCAACTTCGCGCTTCCAGCAATTACAATATTGCAATTGGTTTCCCTTTCCGATATCCCTTCGCCGTCAGTAGCATAAAGGCCAGAGGGGGGAAATGTGGTTTGCTTGTGGCTTCGGAGACGGACACACCACCGGCACATTCAATGCAGCCGCAGCCTCTTTTGTCTCGCTCGTTGGCCTGCACTCTTTTCACACAACACTCCCAGTCCCTCACTTCTCTCACTCCCCCCTTCTCAGATCCTCAATGGGACATAACATATGAGTAGCTTTCTTTGAGGCGGGGGGTAAACACACGGCTTGCTGCTTCCCCCCACAGTTTGTTGTATCAAAATGAATAACCTTATCATGGTTTGCTAATTTTCTTGTCCCCTAGAAAATATAAGTTAATACAATCTACCGTGTAAAGTTATACATATTGGGCAAAATCAGAGCATCGAGCCTTCACACAATGCTGCTCTTCAAACACCCTGATGATATTTGCTGGATTTTTTCCCCTCTTGTTATTGTTGCATTTTAATTGGGTTCCTGCTTATATAGCCATGTCACAGAAAATCTACCCGCACAATTAGGACATTTTTAATTTTATTTTTAAAAAGTGTTTTTTTTGGAAATAGGGGGTTCAGAGGAAGTGTTCAGTGATTGAATGAAATCTCCACGTGGGGCTCGGCCTCGGCACAGTAAACACTGGTAAAATGAGCCAATGGGTATTGAGGACACCCACGTGGGGCGTGCTGACCGTATGCTGATTGGAGGGCACAGGTATCGCAAAGCTCCGCACGTCAATCAAGCAGCCTACAACTGTTCTGTGAGGTTAACCCTTTCGTTGGATACAGGGAGTGATTGAGAATGCGAGGAGTTGTGTGGTGGCTGTATCAAGATTCAGTGGTTTTCCTTTTGCTCCCCACAAACCGTCAATGCGATGAAAAATCTTACATTTCGTCCTTGTTGGTGTGGAAATAAATAGACTTTGCTCACCCTGCTCATTTCTAAATAATAATCATGACCACAGGGAACTGACCAAACATGAAAAGACCAAACAGATGTAAAGGCACCAGAACCCACAGAATAGTGATAATGCTGAAACGCTTGCATGGCTATGTATTGAATGTGCACACTGTTGTTACCTGGAAAAGGAGAATTATTCTTGAGACGAAGGGAGAAATGGTGGAAAAATTGGTATTCTGGTGGCACGACCCCTTTGGCGGGGCTCATAATTAGAGAGAGAGATATTGAAAAAGCAATTTCTGACAGTGGAAATCACAACCTGCCAGAGGTGGAGTTGGAAAATATAGATGGGTGCGTGTGTTTGTGTGAGAGTATATGTGTGTGTGTGTGTGTGTTTGTGTGTGTGTGTGAGAGAGAAAGAGACAGAGAGAGGAAAGGCAAAGGGGAGGGGAGGAAGAGAATAAAGGATGAAGGACAGCAGGGGGGATGCTGAGAAAGACGAGCCAGTAGGAGGGTTAGAGATTGAAGAGAGGGAGAGTGCACATGGGTGATGAAAAAAAAAGTGTGTGCGCCGTGTGTGTGTGTGTGTGTGTGTGTTGAGCAGACGAGTGAGGGAATGAAAAAGAGAAGTGTGAGGGAAGCAAGTGGGGAGAGAGGAGAGGGAAGGAGAGGAAGAGAGAGAGAAAGAAAGATTTTATTGCCATTTTTTCCCATGAATTTTAATGCACAGCACTGGTCTCCCTCCCGGATTCTGGGATCACATTTATTAGAGAAAAAAAAGTCATGAGGAATGCAGTGCTTTGCAGTCTGCTGCTGCAAGGGGAGATGTTTCATGTTGGTGTGTGTGGGGGTTTTTTTGTGAGGGGGGTTGTGCACAGGATGTATGAGGCTCCATTGCGCTGTGCTGGGGGAGGGCATAATAATATAGATGATAGAAAATGATAAGTGAAGGACACATATTATTGCTATTGGCAGGTCAGATGAAGGAGCCTACTAAGTGTGTGTGTGTGTGTGTGTTTTGGCTGAGCTCCAGTGATTAAATACACCAACTCCACGATGCCCTTCTCTCCTCCACAGAGGCTCAGAGCAACGGGACATCAAAGTGGCCCCAAAATGGGACAGGACGCGATGCTCGCGGTGCTACTGGAGCTTTTGGTTTAAGCTCAGTCATGTGAGGTTGTAAAGAGACAATTCTGTCAAACACATGCATGCTGAGGGAAACTAAACACACCTTCACACACCTGTCTCAAAGGGCTAAACAGTGGAAACCGGATGCCAAACCACCAGTTATCCATACAGTGGGCAAAACATCAGGAGGGAGTGATTCTCGGATGAGGTGATGAAAACAGGTTCACTTCCCACAAAAATTCAGAGACGGCTACATTCCTTTGTGGCTCCCAACAGCAATATCAGTGTGTCAAACTGTGACTATGATATTAGCACTAAATGATGCCCCAACAACACTGGTCAAGGCAGACTTTGAGATGAACTATCATGTCTCTCACTTTTCTTTTGTTCATTGGAAGGCAGCATGTTTGGATCAATAAGCTTCACTTGGTGGGTGCTTTCTCCTTAGACACTGACAGTTGCAGGATTGTATACTAGAATCCCATCAGATCCCATGAAGAAACAAAACTATGAGGTGCAGAAACTTTCTAAAAATCAGGCTCAAAAGAAAAATCCACTTGAACCACAGAATGGAGAGTCTTGCTGATTTACGTGCATTTGTTTTTGCCCCTTGTTGTTGTTTGGTCCAGCATTTGATCAAAGGCCAAATCTATTTAACCTCATATCACTTCAGTATATTCCCACAAGAGCTCATTGAACAACAGAGTTTGATTTTTGTAAAATGTTCAGCAATGTAAAGCATCAATCAGGTTTTGGGAGACAGTCCTTCTGAATCAAAGGCAAGGCCATCTTTCCAGACGTACAATTTTGCAACAATCATACTGGTAGGAAACCATCTTAGACACAGCAGGGGAAACCATTTTCTCCTGGATAGTCTCTACAAGACCAGAATGCATTGGAGCTACACAACAGTTGTATAATGAGAGTTGTGAAAATCACTAACTGATCTCTAAACAGTCAAATCAACTTGCTTAAAAATTACATTTAATTTCAAAATAAACCCTGGAATACAAATCAGTGACCTCTAACCATGGTGGAGAGTTAAAGTGTGGATTTTCCCTTCAGTTCAACTTCGCTCAACTAGCCAGACCTCCTTTTTGAAAGAAAATGTCATCCCCCGGGGAAAATGGATGATACTGGAGGAAGGTGCTTTGGTTCGGGTCATAAACTTTTGGTTTTGTAGTGTCTCTATTTGCCTCCCGCCCTTCCCGGCCCCAACACCTCTCCCCAATTTCCCCTGTGCCTTTGGGATGGGGTCGAGAATGGCTCCTGCCCAGCGTGGGCTTGAGTGACAGAAAGACAAGGCCACAGTGTTGTCATGGTGGTGCCCTCCCCCACCAACACCCCCACCCTCACTTTGCTCCCACCCCTTCCCTGTCCCTCATCAGACAAGCTGGATGTCAGCGCAGAGACGGCACAGTGATTTATTGGTCTCCACTCCTCTGGGGCACCCACCCCCGCCCCCCACCCCCCCTTCCCAACACACACACACACACACACACACACACACACACACGCAACTCCTCCCTCTTCCTCGCCCCCATCCATCCCCTCCCCTTCTGTCCTCTCCTGCTGCATGGCCCCCAAGGGAGAGAAGGGGTAATGACCCACATCAGCAGCAGCTCTGCTCACGTGCACACACACACACACACACACACACACACACACACACACACACACACACACACTCACATCCTCTCCTCCTTGCAGGCAGATACAAATAAATACCCTCTGTGGTACACATATGCACATGTATGCACACATAAAACAGACGCTGACACATTTTATGCCCACAGGCGTGTGTATCTGGGAACTCAGGAATTCCACATAACCCAAGTCTGGCGAGATCGATACTGAACCATCTCCTTCTATTGTATTAGCTAAATAGTTCTTTCCTTTAGTAAACCTGTTGTAACCTCATGAAGATGCATTATACACGTCTCCTTTTCACTGCCATTTTTTTCTTTATAAAACAGAACAATGGGATGATTTGTGTCTCTCTGCAGTGAAGTGGAATAAGATCTTCTTTCTGACTTTCCAAATATCTGTGAATACAGTTTGGCCATGAAATCCAGAATTGCACTGCACGCTCACAAGCAAGAGGACTTTTAGAAAATAGAGTTTCCTCATGGCGTCTTCGTTTTTTTTTTTCCTTTTGTTGCAAAAAGGCTAACTTCATATGTGCCAGTGGAATTCGTAAACAAGGTCAGTGGGATCATTCAAGTTCTCACACTGCTGCTTTTTTTGGGCAGAATGAGAAGGGAGCATCTTTCCAGAGGTTGATTTTGAATTCAGGCAGTGGATCCACACTGAAGGGAGAGCGAGGAGGTTAAATCTGAGCATTGACTTGCAAATGCTACTGACAGCGCTCTGCGTGCGCTGTCAGTCATCTCACACGGCGGAGGGATGCTGTATGCAGATACAGCCACAGGTTTCCACTTTACATTACGAGTGTTGGCAAGCCGGAGAGTGCAGGTCAGGCATTAATTTGTGTGTTAAAATAGGGAGGAGAATACATAAATTAATTTGTTCATGCAAAGGAGGACAAGGGATGTAGAGAGACTGAAATGAACTGTCAACTCTAAAATGAGCCCACTAAAAAAGAACAATTGAAGAAGATATGGCTTCTTTTAATAAAAAAGGCACGCAGCTATGAACAAAATATAGCAGATACTAAACTTCCCCTGAATGAAATGAGTATTTAGCACTAATTAGCCACATTTGTAAAGAGAGAGATGTTAAATAATGGAATAACTTCATTGATGTTGTTGGATATAGGCAGTAAACAGTTATTATAAAATGAGTCAGTATAATATCTGCTTCCCAGACTAAACTCCCAAATCCAAACTTGATGCAGTCTCTTGGGGGTTTTTACCTGTTCACATACAGGCAACAAACTTGAACACTGCATTCTACTGCCACCTGCTGTTCAACAGCAGCAATGCAGATCAAACTGAAAACGGTTGGTAGAATAGGTACAATATTTTGTTATGTATTTCAGGGCGCATAATAAATAATAGTCAACACTGTGTTATATATGGCTGATACAGTTGTTGTTATTGTTGTTGTTCACTGGGGGAGAAGAATTAAAGTAATTTGGACTTTTAATCCAGTGATGACCTGACTTGAAATGTTGGTATAACCTGCTTTCACAAGAGGAAGTTCC